AGATTTCAACCTCTACCCACACTCGGGACCACGTACCACCACACAAGGCAGAATTTCCTTAAGACTATGTGGAAGTTCTGTTGGTTTCTCTTGAGCACCCACCCTTTATCTCTTCAGCCATTATCTTCACCCTGGTTCCCCACCTAGCCAGAGAATACTATCAGCCTCCTTCAATAGTCTCCTTTCCTGCATTCTCAAGACAGGAATTAGTGACAGGGCTGGACCCAGCCCCAGGCCCTTTGAATAATTAACAGAGGACCCCTGAACTAGAGTGTCCCTCAGTCATTGAATTCTGGGAGAAACTGGGCATGATGGCATATGCCTGTAATCCCAGTGATTCTGGAGGCTGAGGCAGAAGGATTACAAGTTCAAAGTCAGCCTCAGCAACTCAGTTTTAGGATAAGTGGCAGAAACTCACAGTCACGACAGGGTTGAGTATGGCAGCAGCCATCAGAGATGCTAGCTCCAGTGTGGTTTTCCTCCAGTGACTCCTTTGCAACAGTTAGTGGTATCCCTTCCTCCACAAAAGCAGAACTTTCTGAGGCTCTTTGAACTCCTCTCAGCTTCTCCTGCATGGATTCTCCTGTTGTCCAGCCCCTAGTGGGGAGGGGCACCCCAGAGCCCAAACAAGGCAGGGTGATATTGGAGAGCAGTCTGACTTGAATCTGGGCTGTGCAAAGTCGGGAAATTGCTCCTTTGGAAAAAACCCTGGACAAAAGTCAAAATATTTGGAGCCAAATCACATAGCATCCATGAGCCTCTGTTCCCTTCTCATAAACTGAGGCTATTGGTCCCTGCCTCTTGTGTCTCAAGGGACTGGTGTATGAATGCAATGGGAAACCCCTGAAAAGGTTTGTGGAATTATGAAAGAGTATTGGGGTAGTCCATGTAGGGCCCTCCTACCCTTGCCCCTTATGAGTCTTTGGGTTGGGGCACTAAAGGACAAACTTATAGGTGGGGTATGGATTCTGCTTTACACCTGAGTGGCCTCTAGAGTTTGTGGCCCCTGTTGCATCTGAATCCTCTTAATACCCTCTATTTTTCATCTGTTTCACTAATGAAGGACCTGAGATTTGATGAAATCACTCATTTACTTGATGACAAAACCAGGCTTTGAACACAGGCTCATAATGTAAAATCCAGGCCAAGTGGAGGTTGATGTGAACTGTATGCTAACTCCTCAGGTGTCAGCAGAACCCCAAACTTCTATGGGCCTCGGACAAGTGTGAGGTTCCTGGATGGTCAAGACTCCTCCCCTCCCCTTGAGGAATGATAATAGTAATAATGGGTAGAAGTATAGAACCTCATCTATACACTTCACATAGATTATCTTATATAAAACTATTAATTCTATATGCAAGTATTATAATTCCCACTTTATAGATAAGAAGACAAAAGTACAGTGCAGGGGTTATGTGGCTGCTTCCAGAGTCACACAAACAGGACGGGAGGGTACCAGGGGTTGAACCTAGAACCCCATATAAATTGGCTTCAGAATCCAGCAGCCTGCTTCCCAGAGTGAGCCATGGGAAAAAAGGGAGATCTGGGTGCCTGTACTTAACTGAGCTGCCCTCCATCCAGGGGGTTCTGTAGTCATTGGGGAGAATCAACAACATGGCTTCAGGACCATGAGCAGGAACATGAACAAGGCACTGGTTTGTGTATACTGAAGAAGCTGGTGAAGGTAATATCGCTGCAGCCTTCACCAGCATGGATCTTTTAGGTTTTCCTGGACTGAGGATTCAGGCTTTGCTCCCCACATCCATTCGCGATTAGGGAGTGGGGGCTTAAGAAGACTTACCAGCACCATGTAGGAGCACTTATCACCACCACTTACCAGCCATGTAGGAGCAGGGTAGAACAGAACCCACCAAGTACTCTCCGCTGGCTTAAACCCTGACTTCACTGGCAGCAGGACAGGATAGAGGAGGTCAAGACCCAGGTGAAGAGGGAGAAACTACCCTTCTACACACAAATTTTTGCCAGTGTCCCACCTGTCAACACCCAAGATTTTGGTCAGGCTGGGAACAAAGCCTACACTGCTGATCTTTGCCTAGTTCAGAGCTGGTTTGTCTGGGTAGATCCCCTGAATGCCTCTTCCTTCTGCCTCTGCCTCCTGCTAAGAATATTAAGTGGGTGAACCTTGATGCCTCCCAGCTCTCCCAGCTCTTTCCTTCTGTTCCTTGTTGTCTTTTGTCAATAGTGGTTGGGGAAAGCAGTAACAATAGGTCTTGTGATCTTGGCCCTATCTTCAAGTCCTCTTCTCCTGTAGAGTTGAGAGTTTCATCCCCAGGAAACACCCCAATCCCTCCCTTTGCTCCACCAGATTCTGTTTTACATGTCCTGAATCCCCTATCCCCATCTTTCTAGGATTCCCTGAGGTCTGGGATCCTCCATATTCTCCCCAAGACTCTGCCCTCCCACAGTCCTCTCTGGCTCCTTTGTACCATTTACTAGCAAAAGTGAACACTCCAGCAGTTATAACAAATAAGCACAGGTACAGGGCACTGCAGAAACCCAGCCATCCTCAAACAGGTAGCCTAGGACCAGGGTCCATAAACTAATTCTGTCAGTTGCCACAGAAGTGTGCTTCTGACCCAGGGTCCCATCTTCATTCGGCTAGAATCCCTCTTTAGTCTCCTCCTTCAGAGCCAGGAAGTCCCAGAGGTACCCAGAAACCCTAGACTACCAGAGAACCACATTAGCTTCTTTGCACAAGCTAGGAGATGCCATGTACAGTGCACCTTCCTATCTTTTGGGGGGAGGCGGAGGCGGTACCAGAATTGAACTCAGGGGCACTGGATCACTGAACCACATCCCCAGCCCTATTTTTGTATTTTATTTAGAGACAGGATCTCACTGAGTTGCTTAGTGCCTCACCATTGCTGAGGCTGGCTTTGAACTCAGGATCCTCCTGCCTCAGCCTCCTGAGCCGCTAAGATTACAGGCATGTGCCATCATGCCCAGCCAGTTCTATCTTGACACTTGTACTGCTACAGCCTGGTTCAGGGTTAATTAGCATGGGAGTGATAGTGAAAGTGGGGCTGGGGGACAAACTGGGATGACAGAGAATGGATAAGGATGGGAGAGAAGTAGTTGTAGGGGGAAGTGGAAGGGGCAGTCGGGAGTCAACCAAGAAAAGCCAGCATAGACTTTCAGTGTCTCTGGAGTAGACCCAGCCACAACCAAATTGCAGAAAGTGAATGGATAAGAAAAGGAGAGGTGAGAAAAAGGAAATGGAAGGGAGATGGGAGCAGGACAGAAACCAGGCAGAGACTAGACGGCAAGGGGAGACCTAGAAAGGGGGGGGAGGGAAAGGAGAGGGTAATCCAGGAGAAGTTGCCAAGGGAGATGCCCCAGCGACCCGCCTGAAGCTTGGGACCACAGAAAGGCAGGAAACCGGTGAAAGCAAGGGGAGACAGGGAAGGGGATCGGGTCTCCAGGGAAGAGCAGAGAGTGGGAGACGAGGAGGAGGGAGAAGGCGCGGGGGTGGGCAGAGATAAAGGGAGCAACGGCTGCAAGGCCGGGAGCGCAGCGACAGGCGAGAGGGAGGGAAGCGGAAATTTAAAAGTGAAGATGCAGATAACGCAGCCTGGAGACGGGAACCCGGGTGGGGGTAGGGGGAGGAGAGGAAAGGAGAGTGAGCAATAAGAGGGGCGGGAGCGGGCTGGAAGAAAGGCTCTGGGGAGGGGGCTGTGGTCTGGGGGTCCCAAGAGGGACAGGTACCCTGTCCCTCCACTGTTTGCAGAATCGGGAGGCGGAAAAGAAACGCGCTGGCTGCCCCCTTCGGAGCTTGAGGCCAGGGCCCATCCCCCGCGCGTCTCCCGGGCTGCGGGACGCGGGGGGCTGCCGGGTGCGCTTGGCTGTGGCAGGGCGCGTTGGAGACTTTATTGCGATGGGAAGATAAGAGGGGCGGGGGCGGGGTCCGGGGGGCCG